TAGAAGAGAACTGACTTCCAAAATTTGTCCTCTGAATTCTACATGTGTGCTATGTACGACACAGACATGACCACTCCCCCATAGTAAATGTAGTAATTTTTTTAAAGAATTCAAGGGCAGCCTAGGCTATATGAGACCTATCAAAAATAGTAATAAATAATAAAAATAATAATGATAATAATGGGCTTGGGAGAGGGCTCAATTTGTGAAGTACTAATCATGTATGTACAAGGAGCTGAATTTGGTCCTAGCAACCACATAAAAAGTTAGGCATGGTAGTGTGCACTTATAACCCCAGTCCTGGGGAGGTAATGACAGGAAGAACACAGTAGCTTGCTGGCCAGCCAGCCTAGCCGAATTGGACAGCACTACAACCACATGAGACACTGTCTCAAAAAACAAGGTGGACAGCTCTTGGAAATGAAAACAAAGGTTTGTCACTGGCTTCCAAGTGCATGTATGCACATTGCTCCAAGATGCATGCACGTGCACGCGCGCGCACACACACACACAGACACAGACAAGAATTCTCTAAGTGGAATTCTCTAGAAGTGAACAGAAAGTAAAAAAGATGTTTTGTCTCAAAGAAACTGTAAGTCCCAAGTCCCGGTCTCTGGCCTCCATCTTTGGAGACCCCGTCCCTGTGTCCACCAAGCCTTGACCCCTCCCCAGAGGAGTGTCAAGACGAGCCCGCCAAAATCTTGACCACTCCCCCAGTCTACTTAAACTGCTTCCCCAGAAGGTCCCCTGGTGGTCTTTCCTCCCCCCCAACCTCCCTTACCCCACCCCCACCCCACCCCACCCCACCCACCCCCCCACCCACCCCCGCCCCGTGGCCACCTGAGAGTGCAGGAATTCCATTAAACCTGGATATTTTTAATTTGGCTTGTTGTTATTTGGCTTGATTGGGATTTTTGCGTTGGCAGAGAACTCACATTAGGAAAAATTCCTAACATCTTGGAGGTTCCACCAAAATAGGGTGGCCTTTCCGTGTGGCCCCTAGGCCACGTACCGAAAGCTCTCCACGCCACGCTAAAACCAGCTCCTGGGCTACAGCAGCTGCATCTTGGTGAGTCCCTTTTTCTTGTCTATGTTATAGGGTTTTGGGGGGACCCATTCGTACTTCCTTGTCGATTATTGGACTCTTGTTGAAGCTGTGAGCTAGCGCCAAGCGTTTGATCTCAGCAGTGGCTAGACCAGCAAGACGGGGCCTGGCTGAGGTGGGCTTTGTTTGCTCCAGGGATGCCAAGCATTCAATTTCCACGACCCCGTTAGGCCTAAGAGCAATTTTAGCAGATGTGCTGTAATAGACTTAGGCCACATGGTTGGGCATAGACTTTAAAATGGGCACTTGCAGTTCAAAGCCAGATTCACTGTCACCCCTGGGATGCCTCTTACAAAATCTTTATAAATCGGACCTGTCCGATAAACACAAATGGGCAGAGCTTACATATATCCATGGGTTTTGGGCTCTGCACTCTCGCCCTTCTCTTAGTAGCCAGTGTCTCACAGCACCATGCTGCCAGAGGCACTGGCCCTTCTCCCACTCACTCAAGTCCACACTACCCAACCCCTTCTTGTGGAGCAACATTCTCCGAGACATTCCTCTCCTTTCCTGTCTACCCCCTCTCTTCCCAATCCAGAGGTTCAAGGTCAACTTTCACTTTACCCACCCACCTTCCTCTCCCCCTCCTACCTCACCTACCTCATCTCCCCACCCTTGGACCCCAACTGCTCACTGGGCTAGCCCCTCCCAATCCTCCCCAGTCTCCTCCCATACCAGATCCCACCATAGCTCCGCCCTTCTCTGTCCTCTCTGGGAGGTGGTGGGAGTCAATGGCATTATAAAAGTCCATGTTTCCTTTTCTCTTCCAGATCTCTCTCAGATAGAAAAGCAGCTAGGTTCCTTTTCTACTAATCCTTCTGCCTACCCGTTTTATTTCTCAGTAAGCACCAGATATTAGAAAACAGTTAAGAAAGGTTGAGGAGGGTCCCCCAGAACCCTATATGAGAATTGGTGAAAATGGCCTTTAAAGTTTTTAATGCCTGAGAAGAATCAGCTGAGTCTTCCCGACAGACAAGGCTACAACAGGCAGCTACCCTACAGGCCCAGGTTTTAGCAGCTGCCCTAAGGTCACAGGAAGGGGGACAAGGGAAGCCAACCACAAGGCTCTACCCTGGTGGAACCCAGCCTAAATCAACCTCACAGGCAGGCTATTTCAAGTGTGACCTAAATGGTCATGTGGCACGATATTGCACTATGCCTCCTCCAAGGTTATGCCCTATCTGCCAACAACCTGGACACTGGAAATCACAATGCCCCCGTGTGGGCTTGTCCTCTATGCCACACCACGGAGGTCTGGCCTCACCAACATCGGCAAGTGAAACTGTGCCAGCCTTCAAACTTCTCAGTCTTGCAGAGGATTGACACTGCCCAGACTTGGTATATCCTGTAACCCTATCTGAGCCTAGGTTAAAGCTACAGGTAGCAGGTAAGTCCAATACTTTTATATTGGACACGTGAGCTACCTATTCTGTCCAAACATCTCACTCGGGTCTTACGTTCCCCTCACCAATTTCAGTTATGGGAGTAGATGGGACCCGTTCCTCCCCACTTAAAACTGTGTCACTGCCCTGCATTCTTGCAGGACAATTTTTCCCTCATTCTTAGTGATACCTGCTTGCCCAGCACATATACTGGGTCAAAAAATCCTTAGCTGATTCCCCAAAGCTTTGTTCTGCTTCTTAGAGCCCCTTTTTGACCCCACCCATCTCCGAGGTTCTATTTTACAGGTTCACTCCTCCTGCCAGATGTGTGCCCAGGCCAACCCACAAGGGGCTCTCCACATACGTCAGTCTCTACACCAGGTTCACAGACACCAACTGGGCAAAGATTGGCAGGTTAATTTCACCCATGTGTCTACTCATAAAAACCTCCATTATCTCTTAGCACTTGTGGACACTTCTACAGGATGAATAGAAGAATTTCTGGTCTCCAGGAAAAACAGCAGATGTGGTGGCTCAGGTACTCCTGGACCACATCATTTCTCGGTTTGGTGTCCCATGGACCATCCAGATGGACAAAGGGTCAGCCTTCACTTCCAGGGTCATGGAGCTCGTGTCAGAAGCTCTCAACATCTTCTGGAAGTTCCACACCCCCTATCATCCACAATCCTTGGGAAAGGTGGAGAGGGCCAATGGACTCATCAAACAACAACTAACCAAGCTCTCCATTGAACTCAGGTTATCTTGGCCCTCCCTTCTCCCCATTGCCCTGACTCGTCTCAGGGCCACCCCATGTTCCCCTATAGGCCTGAGCCCTTTTGAGCTGCTTTATGGCAGGTTCTTTCTCCTTAACCACCACCTCCCAGTCCAAACTCCTCCACTGGCACAGTACCTACCCTACCCCTCCCTTTTAAGGTCCCTTCTTCGTTCACAAGATGACAGTTGGCTCCCTGCCCCCACACCAGTGGACCCTAATGCTCCTAAACCTGCCCCACTCTCCCCAGGGGACAGAGTACTCCTCAAACAGCTAATTCCTAGGTCTCTCAAACCTCAATGGACAGGATCTCACACAGTAATCCTCGCCACCCCCTGGGCTGCCAAGCTCTTGGGACACCCATGCTGGTACCATCTCTCCAGGCTCAAGCGGGCACCTATTCAGGATACTTGGCCTGTCCAGCGGACAGGACCTTCCACCCTCCAGTTTTCCAGGATGCCACAATGAAGGGCCTACCTGCTTCTCATCCTGGCACACTCATCTTTGGTGATAACTGTTGTAATAGGAGCAGTGGGCTGCGTTCCCACTACCCAGCTCCCGGCTAGCTTTACCCAAAATAATTACATGGAAACTGTATTCATTTAAACATTGCCTGGCCCATTATATCTAGCCTCTTCTTGGCTAACTCTCACATCTTAATTAACCCATTTCTAATAATCTGTATATCACCACGTGGACCCAACACCTAGCTCTTCTCTTCCCCACGTCACCCTATGCCTGCAGGAAGTAGCCAGACTTGAGTCAATGCCCCTTTTTCCTAAAAGAGTCTAAATGTTAGTCAAAATATCACCTCAGTTTCCTGTTACCCCTTATATAAACAGTCTGGAATATAAGTCCCAAGTCCCAGTCTATGGCCTTCATCTTTGGAGGCCCTGTCCCTGTGCCCACCAAGCCTTGACCCTTCCCCGAAGGAGTATCAAGGCAAGCACACCAAAATCTTGACCACTCCCCCATTCTACTTAAACTGTTTCCCTGGAAGGTCCCCTGGTGGTCCCCACCCCCCATGGTTGTATTCAAGGCCTCCTGGTTCCCCCTCAGGGCCACCCAAGAGCTCAGGAATCCCATTAAACCTGGATATTTTTAATTTGGCTTGTTGTGATTTGGCTTGATTGGGATTTTTGCATTGGCAGAGAGCTCGTATTAGAAAAAATTCCTAACAGAAACCATGAAATGGACTGTGGAAGGCCTCTAAGTACCGGAAAAGAAATGGATTTTCCAAAAGTTCCTGTCAACACCTTGATCATAATCCAGGTGACTCATCCTAGATTCATGACCTTCCAAACTCTAAGATAATACATCCGTGCTGCTCTAAGCCACAAGTTGGTGGTCATTTTCTGTGGCATCCTCAGGAATACACACACTAATACAATGTTGAGTCCTATCCACACCCTCAATAGCTCCCAGAGATACACAGTCTGCTTGAGCACTTGAATGAGAGAGCTGTAATGTGAGATGTAAACATTTATTTCCTGAATGATTGCATGCTTCACTCACATTCATGAGCAGCTGGAATTCCTGAAGCAGGCTGGCTCCTCACACACAAGGGGGCATAAGGAGCTGGCAGAGAACTCGCTACGAGCCACTTACTCTGCTATGACAACATTCTCATGTTCTCACTGCTCTCCCTCCCAAGAAACAACCTTTTCTTCTGATTCATTCCACAGGTTAAAGCTACTCATCCCAAGTTAAAACCCAAGGTGGATCCAAAGGGCTTCAAGTATTATCAAGAGCTGTATGGTGAGCAAAAGAACTTTTTATTAAGAACAATCACCAATAATAACAAATCAGAAAACACATTTAAACCCCAATACTTAAAACTTTACAGAAATAGCATTTTCTAGAACTTCTTGCCAGTAAAGGATTTGGCTCACATAACTATATTCCAGGCAAACCTTAAGGATTTGCCTTTTGTTTACTGGCAAAATAATCCTTGCTGAGCCTTTTCATCACATTCCCATGGCTGATTCCTGCCGTCCCGTTAAACACTGCTCTATAATTCTCCTGCACATATTTGGCAAATGGTCTCACATAGGGCACAATGGGGGTTCCATCCTTCCGAAACAATGGCAGCAAGACCAGATGCCCTTTGCATTTGGCACAGATGAAGCGTTCAGTGTTCAATGATCTGGTGTACCGGCCAATCCTGGGGATAAAGAAGATACCACAGCACAATAACAAATCAATCACGACTCTTCAACAGCAGCTCCAACTCCTCAGCTTTATGCTCAAAGCAATTTTCTGTGGGTTCGGAGGAGCCCCAGGCAGCAGCAGAGTCAGGTCAGCTCAAATTCAGGGAGATAATGGAGAAATAGAATGCAGAAATCGTGAGCCTGACTCCTTAAATTGGTCCATAGACTTACTAAAGATCGACTTGGTCCTGCCATAGTTCAAGGCCTGTCTAAACTACAAAGCTAGTTCAAGACTAGCACATAAAACTTGTCAGGAGCCTGTTTCAAAAAGACAAAAACAAAAATCATAAGAAAGAGGGCTGGCCGGGTGGTGGCTGTGCATGCACTCCTTTAATCCCAGCACTCAGGAGGCAGAGGCAGGCAGATCTCTGTGAGTTAAAGGTCAGCCTGGACTACAGAAGCTAGTTCCAGGCTCCAAAGCCACAGAGAAACTCTGTCTCAAAGAGAGAGAGAGAGAGAGAGAGAGAGAGAGAGAGAGAGAGAGAAGAAGAAGAAGAAGAAGAAGAAGAAGAAGAAGAAGAAGAAGAAGAAGA